TATAATAAGATAATTTACTATACTGAAATCCTCGAATTTTATTATTAACAAATAGTCTTAGATGAATTCAATATTTTACTTAATCAATATATTTGATTTTTTTAGGAGGATTTGCAAATTCTTATATGCACATGCTACACCTTCTTCTTTCTCATTAAATTTCCTATTCATTTCGTTTCTTCCCATTCCATAATTCAAATTAAAAAAAAGTATAATTTACATAAATCTCATAGTGTTAAGAGTTAATTATATTATTTCCCAACTCTTTTTCAAATTATAAAAATCCCTTAAAAATTATGAATTTTGGATATATCACTGGACTTTCGAAGACATCAACAGACATCTAGATACATAGGGGAGAGATGCCCCCTATATATCCGAGAGGGGATAGGGATGTATCAGAGAGGGGATAGGACATCCGGATATATAGGAGAGAGATGTATCTGAGAGGGGAGTGATGTATCATAGAGGAAAGAGATGTATCCGAGAGGGCGATATGGATGTATCAGCTAGAGGGGAGTGATGTATCCGGCATAAGATTTTTGAATTTTTTTTGAAAATGGTAGAAAATTTTAGAGATTATGGTAAAATAAGACGTGTATTTAGGTAATTTTTTCTTAAAAATCTGTATATTTTATTTGCGGTGTCACAATACAACTGATTGCAGGCATTATTTTGTACAAGTTCGCCAGTAAATTTAGTCCAAAATAATGCAAAAAGATTAGTACATATTTTCCTTCTAATAATGTTTTATTAGTAAGTTAAAATCATATAATAAGGTGTAGCTAAACTTTCTTTCACAAGACAATGTGATAAAACCCAAAATATCTAAGTACGAATAGGGTACAAATTACTTAAAACATTGTTTAGTTTCAATGTAGCAAATGTCTCAATGAGTCGAAGTAATGTAGATAGTTGGTCAATTAGCCGCTTAAACTTAAAACGGTATGTACATATATAATATGTATATAATTGTGTATGATTTATATATATAATTAGAAAAAATAAATAATAAATTTGATCAATTATTTGTGGAACATCCCAATGAAATTAGGGTATCATATTTAAAATTTTAACTTTTACTTTATTTTCGAGTAGTTAAAAATAAAAAATTACCACAAATTTATATTCATGCATAACACTATATTGATTTATTATCTCTACATGGTGGACAAGGCTCGTGGCTTAAGAATGGAGACGGTGTTATGACCTCCAAGCTCGATAGGTCATTAGTATTTGTAGATCTTTAATTTTTGATAATAAATATAGTGTACATCATAAATAAAATATTTGATAATCGTGCGTAGCACGATCGAGTTACCTGGTGAATATGATATGGGTCAATTTTATTTGATGTGCGTGTGCACTAAAAAGACTATTGTGTTTGAATTGACTTAAAAGTTGGTCAAATCTACTTTTAAGTCAGTTGCTGGAAGTATTTGACAAATATAAAAATAACTTAAAATAAGTAAAAAATTATTTAAAATAAGTAAAAAAAATTACTTAAAATAAGTTAAAACCCAAAAGTAGGCATTCCCCTACTTTTTATTTTTGACTTAAAAGTCATTTCAGCTTGACTTTTTGTTTTTGACTTAAAAACTACTTTTTTTTAAGTCAATCCAAATGGGCTCTAAGTAACATGTCATTTTCATATTTATTGTAAAATATATATTGTCTAGGAGCGAAGAATTTAGTTATCCATTATCTAAATATTGTATTAGATTCACTGGTTCTCTATGCGATCACTATGGTACTTTAGTGTTGTTACGTAAGTGTAGTCAAAAGGAAATTTATGGATGATGCTTATTATTTTTCTACTAACCCTAAATTTATAAGGTATGATATGGCAAAATTTTGGTCCAAGTGATATATATTATTGTTCCATTAATTATTTTTCAAAGGGAGAGGATATGATTCAACTTTGATCGAAATATTTGTGCATCAAGAGATTCAATCTTGGTGTATATTACTATTTGATATTGTACAATTGATGTTTGAATTATTTTTTACTCTAGGTTATGTCTTGATCAACCTTGATGTAAATGTTTTTCCATCGTGTAAATTTTGATGTCACTGTCTTGCCAGGATGCGCAGTCCTTGGTGCTAATGTCATGCCATGTCGCGCAAGCTTTGTTGCTCATGATTGAGGCCAGTTTTGGCTATGTTAATGCCAAAGCCTTCAGCTCATACACACTTGTTTTGATCGAATGATAGGATACTTATTAGCATAATTTTTTTAGTGTACCTATCGAACATTTAACATTTTTAATCTTTCACATCATAGTATCAATTTGGGAAAATAAATCCTAAGTTGGTCCGTATTTTTTTTATTTTTAGTTTGCACTGTTTTATTTATTTCCATATCTAAAAATTATGTTTTGTTGGACTAGAGAAAACAAATATGGAGTATTATAAAATAGCTAAAAAAGTGTCATGCCTAATAGATTTGCTTTTATTAAAAAAGAAAAGATGTAAGGGAACGACATTTAGAAACTCATACTATAAAATAGAAATTTTCAAAAATTGTTATAGTTTGTGCCTTATTAACAAGGGAAAATTAGCAAATTAATCACAATTCCTAACATAATTAGAAAAAACATCTACACTTTAAAATAATTATTAAAAATGTCAAAATGTCAATATTTTAGAAAATGATTTGTATTCTAATATAACTATTTTCCTTTCCTTTTATTTCTCAAAACAGTCCTACATTGGATCAATTTCTACACCACTAACCAGTAAAAAAGAAAAAAAAAATACTTTTATCATCCATTACCCTTCTTTCTAGGTTTTAACTCAAGTGAATATTCTCTCTCTCTCTTCACGTTTTTCCAATTTTTCTTTCATTCATTGTTCAAGAAAAATTAACTCTTCCCTTTTCTCCTAATTTGTTCAAGAAATCTATCAATTAATTCAAGTAATCTCTCAATTGATAAAAGGTAATTTCGAAGTCACCAAATATTTTGTGAGTTTTCTTCTGATTTTGTTTTCATATCCACCAAATATTTTTGTATTTCAAATTTTATGTATTTATGCTTTTCTGTTCTCTTTTTGATTTTTTTGTGAGTTTGTTTACATATTTGAGATTCAGTAGATTGTAGTAATCTACATTAGCATTCATACATCATATATTGTTTGATTTTTTATAAATTCATATTTAATAATTTCAATTTTTTCTTATAGGATTACTAATGCACAAGTAAATACGAATTCGAATTTGGATTTGGTGAAAACAAAATCGAAAAAAAAGGAACATAGCAGAAGAAGAAGAAGAAAGAGAGAGTCAATGTTGCAAAATTGTATTCACAACATAATTGTATTCATATTATTTTTTGTTTGTTAATTGTTTTTTTCTCAACATTTGTAAGAAATACATTTTCTTTTGTCATGAAATACAATATTTTTTGAAATACAAATTTTGATTGTTACTAAGATTGTAAATTTGTATGTTTTGATGATTAGAATACAAATTTGTTGAAATTTTAAGAAAGAATATATGTTTTTGAAAAATATACAAAATCAATGTTGTATCCTTTCTAAATGAACACAGATTACATAAATATGTATGGATACAAATATTTTATTTATATTTTTATTTGTGGATACAAATATCATTCTAAATAACTACAAATTCATTTGGTATACCTATTAGAATGAATACAAACTAATAAAGAAATACAAATGTCATTATACAAACTCAAACATGAAAACCATAATGAATACAAATACACATATCATCATATTGGGATGAATACAATCAATTACTTTTGAAATTGTAACGGATGAGAATTTTAAGTGATATGTTCCTTTTTTAAAAAAAATTCTCCCATAATTTTCTTCTTTCTGTTATTAAATAATTGTATTCTTTCAACTAAACCAAATAAAAAAATACATAAATCAGAAGAATAACAAACTAAAATATTGACATTTTAAATAAATATTGAAAATGTTGATAAGAGATCCCATTAAATGCTAAAATATTGACATTTTGAAAATTTTCCCTAACAACAATCAATAGTTATAGTTTTGATATGTATCATCGCAACAACTGTTTGAGATGTTATGTAAAGAAAAAAAAAGATTTTTTCTTTAAGTGTTAGGCAACTATATTCGTTATATTCATACAAATATTTATATTTAGATTTTTTTTGCTGGAGATTTGAGTTTATTTTAATTTTAAATTAAATTTTCCATTGTTTTCATCGTTCTTTATCCTTATTTCTTTCTCTCTTTTTCCTTAATTTTCAAGTTTGATTACTATATGATTAAAAATTTATATATTTCTAACAAAAGAAAGAGAATCAAGTGATCGTGATTTTTATTTTCCGAAGAACAAGATAACAATTGTTGTAATAAATAGATTTAAAGAAAAAAGAGAAGGAGATAATAATGGTGGCGATTTTCAAATTTGAAAAAATAACAATTAATACAGTTGTCATGACATTAATGACAATTATGGTGTGTGGTATAGAAAATAATAATAAAGAGAGTGAATTAAAATATATATTTTTTTGAAATATAAATTGATCAATTTTAAACCTTCGCACACTGATTTTGAATGTATTGCACTCACCCTTGCTATATCATCGAAAAATATTTAATAATACAAATTTTGAATAGTATAAATATATAAAGTATAATAAATATAAGGCTTAGTTGTTTAACTGAAAAATTGCCAATTTTTAATGTCTCCCGCTAGACTAAACTAATTTCTTGTTTTTTATGAATGAATTGGGCATCAATGTTTATACATAATAAATAGAGCCTTAGTTGAAGTGTGAAAAGTCACTCCAACTTTAGGTGTATCTCGAAGGATCGACTAGTTTTCTAGTGTTTATAATGAGTTGAATCTCCGTGTTTAATTGAGGTGTCTAACTGAAAAGTTGCGCTAACTTTTGGTGTTTCGTTATGTTTCCTACCATGTATAAATGAGTTGGGCCTCATTCACTAATCTATTGAAAGCCCAACCCATACTTAATGGCGGGAAAGTCGAAGTGAACCGAACAGGCGTGTCGTGTGCGTGTCCGGTAAGCTCCAAATAGCCATAAAAAGTACTCAAACCTGAAAAACCTCCCGCCGTCTTCAACTGCTCGAGTACTCCTTTCACTACTGTACTCATTTTCCGGTATCGCCATTTCCGGTGGAGTGTAACTTCACTTCACTGAACCGCCATTGCTGTCTCCTCGCTTGTAACTGGTAACTGTTAACTTACTCTATCCGTCAATACAGATAAAAGATTCCTTTATTAGTTTCTGAATTTGAATTTTGATTTTTGTTGCGTGCATTTTTGTATTGTAGATAGATAGATAGATACTTGTGTTTAGATTGTGATTTTTTTTTTGTTTTTGGCTCATTTTGGTTTCATTAACTTCAGAGGATTAATAGATAATGACGCTATTGAGGTCTCGTGAGGTGACTCCGGCGGCATCTAAGGCTAAAGTTTCTTCTAAAACCCTAGAAAATCATGTATTGGAACCGGTAACTCCGTCGAAATCTCTTGAGACTTCTGTTCAGCCTTTATGTGTTGTGACTCCTACTTCTCCTTCTTTGGCTAGTGGTGACATTCCTCCTGTTGCTAGAAGGAGGAGTTTGAGATTGGCTTCTAAAAATGGTTTGAGTGATGTTGGTGAAATTTTAAATAATGAAGGGAAGAGTAAGGATTTTGAAATTGATAATGGGGATACTGGCAATAGTTTGAAGAGTGACGTTGGTGTAGAAAGTGCGGATTTGGATGAAGGTGATCAAGATTTGGGGGTTTTAGATAGTGAAGCAGTTGATGAAATAGGTATGAATGAATCTGATGATATAGGAAATTTAGTCTGCAGTGAGGGAAGAATTGAATGTGTTAAAGAGGGGAAAGGGGATAAAAATACAAGTATGGAAGTGCAGGGTGAAGGGAATACTAAGTTTTTGAGTTTGCGGTCGGGCAAGAAGATCTCTAAGAGAGCTGTTGAAGAATGCAGTGGTGGCGCTGTTGGTGATGCTGGAAGTGTTAATCAGAATGATTGTGATGAGAAGTTGTCTCATGGAAAGCTAAGTGAAGGAATGTCAAACAGTTGCGGTTCAGATGGCTCCAGCAATAAGTTACAGACAAGTTCAGTTGAGCCTTCTAGTGTTAAGAGGAGGAAATTCAGCAGAGAAGAGAAATCTAAAGGTATAGTTTCTGAACAGTGTTTGCCAGTGGTTCATTCAGTGAATTTGGAATCAGAGGTAGCATTTGGGATGTCAATTGAGAACACAGTACCTCAGTCTACCTGTTTGCCCGAAACCATAGATCTGTCTGTTCAGGGTGATGGACTAGCTGCCACTTTGCAAAATCGTGATTCAAAGACAAGAAGGATTAGTAGAGAGGAAAAGGGAAAACAAGTTATGGCTGGCGATGATTTGTGTCATGGTGTTGATACATTGGAAGGAAAATCCAAGCATGGGGCAGAGAAACTCGTTGATGAAATTGTTTCAAGAGCTATTAATTTGACAAGTCAAGATGGAGAGCAAGTTGCAGATGCCGATGGCAGTGCAACTGCTACAAGAAGAGTTCATAGAGAAAGGTTTAGGGATATTGCTAGACGAAATGCTTCCAGGTTTGCTCATTTCTCTTCCCAAGCCGAACAGGAGACCGATGTAGCTGAAGAGGCTGCTGAGGAATTTCCACAGGAGGTAGCGGAGACTGAAGAAATAGAAGACTGGCCCGGTCCTTTTTCAACTGCTATGAAGATTATTAGAGATCGTGAAATGAACATCAAGCATCAGCAGCAGAGTAAATCTGAGAAAAGTAAGATTGAAGTGGTATGGGTTCCCAAAACGGACCAGCAGTGCCAATCTAGAAAGCTGGTTGTTCCCTCATTACATGACTTATGCATGGACATTTTAGTGAAGAATGCTGATGCAATCACTTCACTTGATGGTTTACCTGATGCACTTAGGCACAAGATTTGCCAGTCACTGTGTGACTCTCGGGAAATGACATATCAATTTTTTCGACTTCTTATCAGTGGATCTCCTACAGAGATACGCATAAGGGATTGTTCATGGTTGAATGAGGAGAATTTCACACAGAGCTTTAAAGGATGCGACACCAACAACTTTGAGAGCTTTAAAGGATGCGACACCAACAACTTTGAGAGCTTTAAAGGATGCGACACCAACAACTTTGAGAGCTTTAAAGGATGCGACACCAACAACTTTGAGAGCTTTAAAGGATGCGACACCAACAACTTTGAGAGCTTTAAAGGATGCGACACCAACAACTTTGAGAGCTTTAAAGGATGCGACACCAACAACTTTGAGAGCTTTAAAGGATGCGACACCAACAACTTTGAGAGCTTTAAAGGATGCGACACCAACAACTTTGAGAGCTTTAAAGGATGCGACACCAACAACTTTGAGAGCTTTAAAGGATGCGACACCAACAACTTTGAGAGCTTTAAAGGATGCGACACCAACAACTTTGAGAGCTTTAAAGGATGCGACACCAACAACTTTGAGAGCTTTAAAGGATGCGACACCAACAACTTTGAGAGCTTTAAAGGATGCGACACCAACAACTTTGAGAGCTTTAAAGGATGCGACACCAACAACTTGGTGGTGAGTTTTAATTTATTCTTTTTTACTTTTGCTATGGTTGATTGGAGTAAAAAAAGGAATTGTTGGAGGAGTAAGTAAAAGCTAGAGTGTATGTGTTCCTCATCGTTTGGTTAGGAAATTTTAGAAAACATGAAGTAAAAGTGGATGGGTTGCATTACTCTGCATCATCATTCTCAATCTCTCCAAAGCTGGATGAAAGTGATGAAGTATATTACAATCATACCAAATGATTGGAAGTAAATCATCAATACTTAACATAGGGAAGTAGATTGTTGGTTTCTCTTTTCTTCCTCTTCACCTCTCATTCAAAGAACCAAACATAGTTTTGATCTTTATGAATACTACTTTTTAGTATTATTCATCTAGTCAGTCTCTACAGTCAAATTTTGCTTGCATATGTAGTAATAGTTCAATGATATGTTAGTTCTGATACGTGAACTTCAAAATGTTTTCTTTGTGGAGCCAGGTGCTTCAACTGGATCAGTGTGGTCGCTGTATGCCAGATTATATCCTATTGGTTACATTAGCTCGTCGTCCAAACAATCTCCCTGCATTGACGACCTTATCCTTGAAAGGTGCGTGTCGTCTTTCGGATGTTGGGCTGGAGGCGATCATCTCTGCAGCACCTAATTTAAGGTCAATGAATCTTAGCCAGTGCTCTTTGCTGACATGTGATGGAATTAGCTGTTTATCTAATTCATTGGGATCAGTTCTGAGAGAGTTATATCTAGACAATTGCGAAGCAATACATCCCATGCTTATTCTGCCAGCATTGCTAAAGCTAGAACATTTGGAAGTTCTATCAGTAGCTGGAATCCAGACTGTGTGTGATGCTTTTATTAAAGAATTTGTCACTAATCGAGGTCAGAGTCTGAGAGAGATTATTCTGAAAGGATGCATGTAAGTGGTTTTCGTCATGTTTCAAGTGATGCTCCACTGAGAAATTTGATTGATACTGATTGTCTTTGTGCCTTGAATCTGACACAGGGAATTGACTGATCGTTCTCTGAAAGATATTTCACAAAACTGTCCCGGATTGCGCGCTATAGACCTGAGCGACTTGTGTAAATTGACCGACTCTGCAATTGAACATCTTGCCACTGGTTGTAGAGAAGTTGACAATCTAAAACTCTGTCGCAATCCATTCAGGTTTCCAAAATATAGCAATTGACCAGATAATATTTTTCTAAGTGTAGCATATGCGGTGTCTTTAGCCGTGATCTTTTGCTTGCAGTCTTTATCATCATTTTGTGTAGCGCTTTATTCTTTTCTTGAATGCCAATTGCTTATGTCTTGAGACCAATTTGTCAAAAAATATCAATGTTCTTGGTTTTAGATTTATTTCACAGGTACTTCATGCTTGAAGGCTTAGAATAGATGCTACATATAGGTGTTCTCAGTAAGCATTCTTTGTTTCAAGCTATATATAGGATTTTCACAGTATGCATTCTTCAAAATATGAAAAAAGAACTACTATCTTTTTGATAGTATGTTCTGCATTCCTTGAATTCATTAATAGAAAAATGGAAGTGGCATAAGCTTATTCTTATCTTTACTAATGGCAGTGATGAAGCTGTTGCTGCTTACGTGGAAACTAGTGGGGGATCTTTGAAGGAACTATCTCTCAATGGTGTCAAAAAGGTACTTGACAGCATGCAATGTTCATTGCCTCTCTTATTTTGTTTGTGTGGACATGGGAAAATGTGTTATGGGTTCTGATTGTGTACTTCTCTTTGCTGAATTTAGTTGATCAAGCCAGCAAAAATCTGCTTAGATCAATATTTTAATTAATTGAGAGAGAGATTCTAATGATTTAGTATCCAGTTTTGATTTTTAAGTATTGTTTGTTACACAAGTAAGGTTACCCAGTTATTTTGAACTTATTGCTTTACGGTATGTTGTGAACTTCACTTAGATATAACAACTATTCAAATATATTCTGAGAGCAACTTTTGGTGTAATAGGAAGCCTGACAATGTAGTAGAATTAAATACTCCCTACAGTCCGAAGAGACAAAATTCCACTCACGTTTGTGGTGATCTACCACTTTCTTGGTGCCACACTGTTTGTAAAATCAACATTAACTTATAAAACAAATATATATTTTGAGAGAACTAGCAAATGGAACCTTGGGTTTTAATCCGAACCAGCAAATTTTCCTTTTTATTTGTAGACCGTAGTTTTCCTCTTCCACTTTTTCCTGGGTACCTGGAATTTGCTAATCCAAAAGGTCCATGAATTATTGCCAAGACTAAAAGTCGAGGATCTTAGTTTTTCAACGTCTTTATATGGTTTTTACAGGTTTCACACAACACTGCTATGTCTCTAGTCAAATGTTCAAAAAATTTGATTAGTCTGGATTTGTCTTGGTGTCGCAACTTGACGAACGAAGCCCTGGGATTGATTGTTGATAGCTGCTTATCGTTGGAAGTACTAAAATTGTTTGGCTGTTCTCAGGTATGCCTCTGTTTACTTTGGTAAATGAGAAACTTACTTTGCTCATCTCCCTAGAGTTTGCATGATCATTCAAAGAAACAGTAATGTCCTACATAGTTTCCTGTACCTCGACTGACAGCAGGGAGTGTTGAAAGGCACATGCTCATATCACAGAATCAGACAAATGATAACTTTCTCAAATATGTAGAATAATAGGAATTCCTTGTGCTTGTACAATTTTTACTTTGTGTTTTTGTAACCTTGAGTCCTATATACCCTCTAGTTTACTATTCTGTCAACTGAAAGAAAATAGGTCATTTAATTGAGGTCCATACATCTTAAGATTTCATTTGAACTGGCTCGGCTTTGGTCTAGTGGGAAGAGTGCAACACATGATGTGTGTATTAGGCGCACGTTACTTGTCCGAACCTTGGCGCCGACAAATACTTGGTATTTAAGTGGAGAATGGTAGAGGGGCTGTCCCATTAATGACAAAGTTTCAAACTGCGCACACAGCCTTTGTATATCTCGGTTCAAAAATCAAGGTTTCTTATGATCTGAAGAAAGGATCACAAGATTTTGCTTCTATGCCCCAGATTGATCAGAAAAATTTGGAGAATAAAATCTAATGGTTGTGAAATATCCAAAATGCTTATGCTTTTGAGGTTGCTAAAAAACAGTCTAGCTGATTCCATATTTTCTTCTATCTTGTGGTCCACTGCTTATCATCACTGTTGCTGTGTAAACTTTGAATTCCTCAAAAGGGAAGTGTGCTTGCTGGTACATCAAAGTATGCAATTCCCGACCCACCCCTATTGGTTGCTACTATTTTTTTGGTGTGTGTGCATTTGTTATGAATCTTTAGGGAAGGCTCGATTCACAGGGCAATATATAAATTCAGCTCGTTAAAGGGAGACTATAATCTTAGAGTTCAATGGAAGAGAAGGAAGCTGAAACCTTAGAGTTCAATGGAAGAGAGAACTATCATCTCTTGCTTTTTGCTGAAATATGACTTAATGATTTATTCATTAGAAACTCCTTTAAATAGGAGTCTTATTACATCAATAGGAAGTCTAATCCTTGTGAAAATAGGAAAACCTAAATCCTATTCCAAACTAATACTAACTATAGCTTAACGTATCCTTATGAAGCTTTGAAACATAAATCATATTCTAGAATAATAAATAAAGCTACTTAAAAATATAATTAATTACTCAATTAATTGACTTCACCACATCCACAACAACATTTGATTTGGTGAGTAGGGATGACATTTGTTGGGGTGCTTGGTTATTAGGTTGGTCAGTACTATCAATTTTTTTTTTTTTTTTTTTTTGTGGTGGGCATTGGGGTTGGCAAAGAGATGGATCAAGATGGTTGCATTCTTGGTAAATATCAACCTTGAATCTTGAAACTTTGTTCTTATGCAACTGTCAAGGTAGGGTTAGGATCTCTGCATGACCTTTCCTACTATCATTGAAAGATGATGGATCCAACTTCATCAGATTCAGATGTCCTTAGATATTGCCAATACAAGATTTTCTCGAGAGAAAATGATATCTATTGGTGGCAAGCAGGTAGCAATGGACACCCTTTCGCAGGAAAATTACAGTGTAGATAGGTAAAACAAATAATTATATGTATATATACTATAAGTGGAATCTTCTTGTGCTAGTTTTGATTCCACTTGGTGAAAATCCGGACTCTGCCATAGGTGGTATGATTCATGAGCTATAGTTCTATAATACTCTCTTTTTAAGAGAAGAATCAGTTCTGATATTTTGTTTGATGCCATTTGTTTCTTCTGTGCCACAGTTCTTCTAGTCCTTTTACTTCTGATAGTTTTGACTCTATAATTGTTACTAGTGCATTTCCCTTGCATAGAATCCCTTTTAACATGTTGGAGTTTTGAAGATACGCAATGCAAATAACTTTGGCATGTGCAATATATATGCAGGTTACTAGTGTTTTTCTGGATGGGCACTCAAATCCCCAAGTTAAGATCATTGGATTGAAGATGACTCCGATACTAGAGCACATTGAGGCACCAGATTCTCTGCAGCAGGGGCCGCTACGATATTCAGCAGTGCCATGGCACTCTGACAGATGATTTTATTGGAAGTATTAAAAATGGAGTTAGTATCCTCTGTGAATGCCAGAAGTCATAATCTCTCTTTGAAACTATACTAGATAAGCTTTTGTGGTAATGCTATGTCAAGTGAAAACTTCCCATGCTCATGGAGACTGGAGAATAGTTTCCCATATCTCAACATTATTTTGTATTGATTTGTGAACTATCATGTTCTCGGTGTTGGAATTGGATGACTATACGTAGTTCTAACCTACTAGATATTACTTGTATAACTCACTTCCAAATCAATTACCAAACGATCTTGAGAAATAAAAACTCTTATTATGCACCTTAATGTTACATGATACGGAAGAACATAGAACATCCCAGCCAAAAAAATAATAATAAAGCGTTGGGTTAGCTGTTTCAGATTGTACGAATAACGGTATCATTAATTCTTGTTGTACTAAAGTTATTAAACTGCACTTACTTTAAAAATTGGTATCCTCTTATATAACATGAATACTTGTAGCTCAAGGGTTTTAAATTTATAAATAAAATTTGAAATAGTGTGTAATTTTTAGGAAGTGTAAAGTTCTGAAAAAAAAATTCTTAACACATCATAAGTTACAAAATGAGTGGTAGTAATAATACTTCAATTTATTAAGTCATAATTAATTAATATGTTGACTGTAAAAATAAAATAAAAAAAGAGAATATCTCAAAGAAAAACGCTGTCAGAAGAAGAGTGTTGTAAGGTTAAAATAAAAAGGAAACGCCGTTGCCGGGGATCGAACCCGGGTCACCCGCGTGACAGGCGGGAATACTTACCACTATACTACAACGACTTGCTTGTCTTACAACTATTGATCACGTTATTTAATAACATTACAAGAATTTGTTCATGTCCGAATAGATATTTTTTTATATTTTTACTTAAGTCGAATAACCACAACTTGACAGTTTATACTTTATATTTATAGATTATAGAAAAGGCAACATTAAAAGAAAATTGGTGCTTATGAGCAAAATGATTCTGATTTCACTACAATATAGATATTTCATAGAGTGCTAGATCAAGAGGTAGAGTTTCATTAATATTACAATGATTACCTGGGGCACTTGAAACTGAAAAATGGGTTCATGATCTTGACAAAACCAAAGATTTGGAATGCTATGTTCCAATCACTAATACACTTATTTTTTTTTTATATGTATGCAAAATGTGGGAATTTGGAATTGGCTAGACATGTTTTTCATAGATTGCCCTAATAAATAAAAGGGTACCATTTCTGATATGTACTGCTTTCGGCATGATGGTAATCGATAATAATTCTGAATGTATTAGAGACTGGAATTTGATGAGAGCAAACAAAGTGCATAATCAAATGGAACACATTTTACATCAAAGATAAAAAGAAGTTGTAACAAGGTTTTACACTAATAAAACACAACCACAAAATCCCAAATATGGCTAGCCACCTAGTAGTGACTAAGAAATTCATATTTAGCCTTCAAAATCATTTTTGACCCACTGTCCATAATTATTCTTAATCTTATCATCAAACTCCTTATCTTTCATTTCACATATCTTATTTGCATTTTCCATACACTCTTGTTGAACCTTAGCAATCCTTTGATTCCTCTTCCTTGACCATGCTTCCCTCTCTGCTTCAACACTTTCATAATCTCTCACCCAACAACTCTGCACAGCACAAGTCACAACCAACACTCCTATTTGCATCACAAACATAGACATCAAAACCCCACATTCCAATCTCACTAAAACCTTTGCTTCTCTAGGATCCCTTGGTGATTTCAACATCAAAAGACTCGATTTTTCCTTAGTGAACAAGGCTAAAATGCCAAGTAATTGACCGATACACGATGCCATGAGGAGGGAGAGGTGAGTTATGAAACAACAATGAGTTAGTTGAGAGTAGAAACCAATGAAACATGAAAGAAGTGAAATGGAAGAGACTATGAGGAATGACCAACCAAGTGAAGTTGGCGGAGTTTTGAGGAAAACAATGGGACCTATAGACGCCGCGGAGAGAATAAAGAGGATGAAATTAAGAAAGGAAAGTAGAAGAATTGGAAAGGAACAAGAATGCCTTAGCTTTGAAGAAGTCATTTTTTTTTTATTTTACTTGAATTATATGATAATTTTAACAAGTTGTTTATCTCTCTCTCTCTATATATATGGAGTATGAATATGGCCGTTGATGCTAGCTAGGGGATATGTGAATTAACGGCTAAATTTGACAATGACTTTCCCTCCTTTGGGTTTTGAAAGATTTACTAACATTTTGTGGCTTTTAATGACAATGTCGTTTTAATCAAAGGGCCCTTGAGATGTTCAAACTTTCATTCAAATTACTACTAATGATGAAAAGGGCCGTTTCCTGACTTGAAATAATGATATGAAATTATGTGAGAAGTTGGAAGTTTTTTTTGGGATATGTAATTTGAATTTTTTGTTCATAAGCATAAAAGCACATAAATTGTGTAAACTATCATAATTGCACCAACTTTTTTATACAATCTAACCAAATAAGCAAAAGTTTATTATTCCAACTTTAGTTAAATTAAAAGGTAAAATGCTAAATGGCCAAAAAGTTTGGCCAGAAATTTAAAAAGTGTATTATATTTTTTAATTTTAATATAAGATATTTTATTTTTCATTTTTTTATTAAAATGTATTAAAGTTAAAAAGGTAAAAATGTTCAAAAAGGTAAAATACCATTTTGGCCATTTTCTGGCCAAAAGAATTTTTCCTAAATTAAAAAGTAAAATTGAACATGAGTTGTAGTGTATTACTCTTTAATAAAATTGAACATGGTCAATACCATTAGTAACTATATCTTTATGTTCATATTCAGTAAATATTTCATCACTCCTTTGTTATTCTCGTAAATAAAAAAATTATGTAGATATAAAATGGTGGTTTTTTTTAAAAATAAAATATAAACTTATGAGTCAATTTTTGTATCTGAAAAACATGAAATCATGATATGAAATTTCTAAATCAAACTTTTAGAAGAATTTGAGATTTCATTCAAAACATGAGAAATTCAAACGTTGATTTCATTTTTTCTCATGATTTCAAATCACGAGATGAAATCGCGTGTCCAAACACCAATTTTATCTCATAATTCCATATCGCGAGATAAAATAACATGTCGAAACGCTTACTAAGCATCACCATGGTCTTGGAAGTTGGTGCTTATTTCTCATAGAATAAGAAATATATTGAAAATAGAGTGGATACATGGACAATCACCTTAAATTGCAACTAAATTTTATTTAGATATACGAACTATAAAAATATTAAATAAGAATATTTTATCACGTGTTTAGGTTGTCAACTAAAATAATGAGTAATTCAAATTTCTAAATAAGTTTAGTAAAGTTTAAAAGTTGTTAATATATTATCACTTGTGTTTACCTCTCATTCTGAACCTATTTTATTTAAAATGGTAGCCCATATGTTCGATTTCATGTTCCTTAAGAAACTAGGTAAGTTTACCATTATATCATTATTTAGTTTTCTCTCGAAGTAAAATTTTTAATAAATGAACATGAATTAATTTATTTTGATTAAGTAATTTGACAAATGAATATGAATTAATTACTTTATTTTCCTATGTTGGTCAAATACACACTTTCAAGGCTAATAACTCTAAAGAGTAAAATAAGAAGAATAGTGTCATTTATGCATTGATTTTGTGAAAAGACAAGTATTAAGTAACATATATTTTTAGTAAGGACGACATGTAAATAGTACTACCTCCGTTCACTTTTAATTGTCATAGTTTACTTTTTTTTTAGTCAAACGATAATAACTTTGACTAACATTTTACAATGTATTTTTTCATCATATTGAGATACAAAAAATTGGAATTTATAGTACTTTTCGTATTGTTTTTTAATATCTAATTTTTTTTTTTTAAAAAATCAAATTAATGTAATCTAATTTAACTTTGAAAATTAGTCAAATTGATTTTGAAAAATGCAAAATGACAATTAAAAGTGGTCAGAGTATTATTTTTTATCAAATTGCACCTACTTGGACTAGTTTACAAAATGACTTGCTATACAACCGTAATCATAAGTACCAGATAATAAAATGTTTCAAATTTCAGATATCTCGACAGCCACAAGTACAAGTATCAGATTTTGATATTTTTGGTTATAATTTAGATCATATTCCTCCAAGATGGAGAGGACAAAAGAAGACTTGAAAACAACACAAAATTACTGTTGCTCCATCAATTAGTAGTTTCAACTTTCAGTTTCACACATTGTTAGATCCTTATCTCCAGTGGACTGCAGATAATTCATTCTAAGGTTTTTTGGGAAAATATATGATTCAAGTTAGCAAAATCTTTCATGGTCGAAAACGCCACCATTTCTATTGAGGCTTTCTTCAAATGTTTTTCTATGTAACCAAAATGAGCGATGAAAAACAAAATTTACAAATCCTGTTTTTTGTACATCAAACAACTGCGCAAAGGTGAAATTAAAGAACCTAGAAACTGTAATCTATACAACAGGATTTGGGATAAGTTGCCGTTTTCATCGTTTCACAAGAGATATTCTACCCTTGAAAAGCACATTGCGATGTTGGCTGTACAAGCTCCCAACTCCTTTTCTTCCTGCATATTCTAGTTCAATACTTTCAGTGAGAAGCAGTATTATGTGAATCAAACTTGACTACATTGGAAAATAAGAAGAAAAAAACTTGAATACTCAACATTTCATGTGTAGATTAAGCACCGCAGCACCATGGAAACGGTGCATGAGTACTACTGCTAGCAACTATGCTAGAGTAGTTACTAAAATAGGTCTAAAAAGGTTAAGAAACAAACAACTTGCTTGAACCATGCTAAGAAGTGGCAGCTAGGCCATCTCCTAATTTCCATCAGGGTCTTGCCAATCGTGAAAAATGAAGTTTCAGTATAAGTGATTAGGCGAGAAATTGGATTATCGATCGAGCTGAAACAAATTGAACACCTTAAGGATCATCACTCTTTAAAGAAATAGGTAATAATGATGTTACCAATTCTCACAAAAAAAAATAGGTAATAATGATTTTAGCATTGCAAATTTTGAACAAACAAAACATTCTAACAGTCAACCAAAGTCAATAAAACATTGATGTTTATAGAACTCCATCCTTCAACCTCCCACCCTGACACAACAAAGCATAGAAATATGCAAAGATGTTACTACGATGAAAAAGAACATAGATGCAGCATCTTATCCTTGGAATGAAATTTTTAGTTAGCTACAACTTAGAAGAACTTTGGGTGAAACAACATGTTGTAGTTAATCAAAGGAAGTACTACCTAATACCAACTTAGTTGATAAAGTCCTACTAGTCTTTAAAACTTAATAATGATATCAGTTTTCTTAGGCCGACAGAGCTCTACAACCGATAAAAAGACAACCAAGCCTTTTATAGGCCAATCACTGACTCATACAAAGAAGAAAAAACCAATAAACAGCTCACAATGTAACAGGAAAGAGGGGAGATTGGGGTGCCCTATACTCCAAGATAAATTAGGCAGCATAAACTGGTAACATACCAAGTGATCATTATGCTTATTGGCTAAAAATGGCCTCAACTCTATCCAGCGATGCTTGTAATCGTCCAGAGTTCATATTGAACAATGGTTCACCAGTGCCCACTGCCCTGCAAATGGAAAATCCAAAACCCAGACCATCAATCTCTAGAGCGGCACGCACCATCAAGTTTAAGTCACGTTTAATTTCAAAGCACCATGGGTACAAAGTCTAGTGATTTCTTACAAAGAAAAAGGCATATCAAGATGAAAAAGCTTACCCAGTAATTTCAGGAAGAACATAGTCTGCTCTCCACCCAAAACGAAAATCCACACCAGGACATAATCCAAAAGACGTCTTATTCCGGATCCTGGAGACACCATCTCCACCCAAACAAGTCGTAAGCTTCCATTTCCAACCAGTTGCTTGCAACTGAAAATTGTGTCCTATCCCTACCTGATAAAACTCGATGTTAGAACCAACAAAATTTTGACAGATAATGGCAAACAAATTAGTTGGAGGAAGAGAAAAGAAAGGCAAACCTGAAGATTCAGAAATTTTGTAACTGGGATCTTCTTTGATAGAAGGCGCACTTCATGACGCAACGGCTCACATATGAGCTTCCATCGACGTTCGGGAGCTAAAGGCTTCAAAACCAATTTTGCTAGATATTCATTGCTTGGATTATTGTAAAACTGATGAAGAAGGTGTCCAAATGTTCAGATAACAAGAGAAAACTGAAAATGCTAATATTGACACCAGTTTTAATGCCGTGAGAACTATATCATCTATGGTGATTCCATCATTAACTACAGTGCTGATGCAGAAAATTCACATGCAGAATTTACATTTCACAATTGTGATCGTTTTTAACATTCATCCCGAGGAATAGGGCACTGCTCTAATGGTAGAACCCTTCACCTTCAACTATGAGCCTAGGGGTTCATGTAACCAAGCAGAGCAGTGAGAGAAACCACTGCTGACCCCTAAAGTTTCAGAGGAATGATATCTATATATTTTTTTAACTATAGTGTCCCGGCCAGCTTGAGCGCGCCTCAACTAATTCCACGGGATACCTGACCCTTCACCACCAACAAGTACCAGGTAACTCTGTCCACCAAGGCGAGAACTAATAAGAAGAAATCACCTAATGTTTTTGTATCTACCGGGATTTAAATCTTAGAGCTCCTGGTTCTCTTCATTGACCACTAGGCCACACCCTCAGATGCAAAGGGACGGTATCTATTGAAAAGAAAAGAACACATACACTATTTGCGTGTGATCTATACTCTACTGTCACCTCAGTGGTTTAAGATTAGTGGCTTTTTTTCATTCAAAATACTAAAGAAGAAGAATTCCTAATGCTGTATAGAAACAATCAAGCCAGCTATCACAAAATTATATTCCTTAAAATGAGTAATTTGGACAATATCAACATTACAGGTATACTTCATTCAAGATCATGACGATCACATAAATCCGCTCAAGTGCGATTTTCAAAATGATTCCAAAATTTGATAATACACTAATCTTTTAGAACTAATTAATTAACAAAACTAAACATGAAAAAGTTAGTCAAGAAATTA